AATTTTAACTCAGTGGGTGAAAAAAAGCTGTAAGCAGAATCTATACCTCTGAAAAATAAGATGAGAAGCAGATTTTCCTTGTCAAACTTATTATAAAGTTATCATAATCAAGTGTATTAAGTGCTTGTGATGAATAGACAAATAAAACAATGAGACTGAATAAAGAGGTAATAATTAAATGTGTATATATTGGAAAATGCATGTATGACATCTGACCTAGTAAACCAAACATAACATTACCTGATATGCTCTTAAGAAATCTTTAAAATATCTTCTACATTTAAAATCATAATCCATCTAGAAGTGATTTTTTTTGTATGTGTGAGGTAAATAAAGATTCAATTTTATTTTTTCCAAATGGACACCAATTAGTTGCTCAAAACATCATTTATTGAATAACTTCTCATGAGCCCATGGAGTTTTCTCACTTTCCTGTATCAACTCTGCATATACTAGTTCCATCTCATAAACATAATTTTGAGAAAACAATATATGCATGAGTATTTCTTTATGGAGGATTCAAAATGACGTACAACTAAATAAATTGCTTAGGAATACAAACATTTGAGGTGAAACCCTAAAAAGAAAACAAAAGAAAAATAAATACAAAATTTAGGATAATTTTATTATTGTAAATTTATACAAGGAAATATTGTATAATACAATAATACAAATATTGTATTATTGTAAAAATATATAAGAAAGAATAAGGATAGACTTTCAAGGTTGTTATTATTGTTCTATTCTTTCAGCTGGAAGAAATACCCCAAAGTTTAGTTATTTTCATTTTTATCATAAATGTAAAATGTATACATTCTTTTGTATGTATAGTAATATTTTGTAATAAATATAATATATAATCTTTCAAATAAATAGATGGGTCAAATAATAAAAGGATATTATTCTTGATGTGATTGAACTATTGAATTGTATGGTAAGGAGCTCTGGTGGCACAGTGGTTATGTGTTGGGCTGTTATCCGCAAGGTCAGCAGTTTGAAATCGCCAGCCACTCCTTGGAAGAAAGACAGGGCTATGTACTCCCCCAAACAGCTAAGGTCTCAGAAATTCACTGAGGCAGTTCTACCTGCCCTGTAAGGTCATTATGAGCAGGCATCGGCTTGATGTCCATGATTGAATTTTGAGATACCTAAACAGATAGGTATCTCAAAACAGTTAACTAAAAGATAAACACACCCAAATGACATCAAGAGAGATAAATTGCAAAATGAAAAATCAAGCAATGTCAACATCTATGTAATAAACATATTAGAATAAGAAAATTAAAATAAAGACAAGGAAATATTTGAAGAAACAATAAGATTCCACTGATCAAAGAGGTGGAAATATTCTTTATCTTGATTGTAGTGACAGTCTCATGGTACATACATCTTTCAAAATCCATTAAATTACATGTTTTTTTATGTATGCAATTTACTACCCATCAATTATACTCAACAAAACTGAAAGGAAAAAAAAGAATCTACAAAAAAAAGTTAGGACTGGAATTAAAAGAATTTAGTATGTCAATTTGGATAGGTAAATTAAAAACAAAACAACCACATGGCACTCAAGGACAAATAAGATATTATAAATGTTTATAAACATTTATAAAGATGAAGAAAGGAAAAAGAATGAGATTGATATCAGTCTCAAAAGTAACTCCAGAACAGAAAGAGAGTGAAGCAAAATGGTCAGTGACGGACATGGTCAGTGTCTGTCCAGTCCCCTTTCACAGAAGAGTAATTTCTTGTTTCCAGAAGTAGACCTAAGTGTTGCCTTCACCATTTTTGCTGTCTTCATTCACCTTGAGCATAGTAGGTCCTTCCTGGCTACTCCCACAACAACCAAGACTATTCCTAGAGAAGCTGGCTCTCTCTGGAGCAGGAAGGACTAATTCTAGCCATTATATTTTTAAATGGGAAAAACTGGGCCAATACCAGTGTTAATGACCAACAGAGAAAGGGATACAACTAAATTAGAGAAAAGGCTAATTCTCGGTGAAATAGAGAGCAACAGCCTGAGCTGAGAGCTGGGGCAGCAAGGGTAGGGTGAGGAGTAAATAGTTCCAGTAACGAAATGTCTAAAAAAAGTAAAGGAAGCTTTTAAATTGTGTATACCTATGGATGTATTAAAGAAGCCCTAGTGGTATAATGGGTTAAGCATTGGACTGCTAATCCATAAAGATTTACACTCTCCCAAACCCTATAGAGTATTTCTATGCCTACAGGGTTTCTGTGAATCAGAATTCACTCTGTAGCACTGGGCTTGTTGTTGGTGTGTGTGTGTGTGTGTGTGTGTGTGTGTGTGTGTGTGTGTGTTCATGCACACCTCATGTTCAGAATGATCAGACACAAGGCAAGTCCTCTACAGAGCCTCCAGATACCCTGCTTCTGAATTAATAGAGCAATTTATGGCCAAGAGCTTTCTTTACACTGTAATCCTCAGCCAGATGTGTTCTGGCAACAACCATGACAGTAGCCACTCTATTCTAGTAGCAGTGCCCCCTTGGCTCTGGCTACCTCTCCCAGGAGCAATGAACAGTTCCAAGTTCTCTGGGGCACTTAATCACCACCCCTCCCCATGGCCTGCCTGGCACAAGAGCCTAGGGATTTGATGTATGAATAAATATAAGTCACACACACTGTCCAGGATCTCTCATCAGGCCTGAGGGAAAGAGAGTACTCAAAGTCTTAAGAGATTCAACTCTGAAAAGGCCCACAACAAAGCCAAAGACCACCACCTATCTTCCATGTCGCTGGTCGCTAAATCTACTTTTCTTGGCACCTGGTTGAAAGCCTGCCACTTGACAGCCTGAGTCAAAGTCCGGAAGACAGAGAGCAACCCTGCTCAGTCAGGTTGGTGAGAGGGACCTGGAGGCGCATGGATGTATGTAACTGGGAGGAATCTGTATAGACATCCATTTTACAGAGGTCCCAGACTAACCCGTTGCCAGACCCAGGGTAGGGGAGTGTCTTTCTCAATGTCAAAAATTGCTCCCTCTAGTTAGATACTTGATAAGACATTAACCCTTTTTCCCTTGTTCCTCTGGTGTCTTCAAGATACATATGGTTATGGGAACCCCCAAAAGTTAGGCTTTTAAAATACATCAACTTATGGGCACCTGTTTCTTAATATGTCAGGTTATGGACACCTGAAAAGTTAGGCTTTTCCTTTAAAAGGATATGAGAAATGGGGTGTAGCTGGCAATGTAGCCAGATAGAGAGTAGGGAGGAAAAAAAATATTTCCTGATGGATTGGAAATGAAAAAGAGAGAGAATAGGGAGAAACACAGTTTTTCATTTCTTTTTCTCTAGTTCTCTGGGTTTCAAAAGGTTTTAGTCATAGTGATCTTTGCTTCAATGAAACGTTCCCACCAAAACCGCATCTGATCAAATAGACAAAAGAAGAAGCAATTGAGGTGAATGTGAGAGCCCAGAGAGTCCCCCTAACTCGTCACTCTCCTGACAGGAATGGTGGAGCCTGAAGCACTATTATATAACATATACATTCCTCTCAATGCACTTTGACGACATTGTCCTGGTCGCGTTCCGGCACCCTAGGTCAAGCAAATTTCTAGGTGGCATAATTCAGTTTCTTGTGGCCAACTGGAGTCAGACTGCTGAGATGCCTGTTCATGAAGACGCCATTGGAATTTGCTTTTATCTGCTTCTCCCGCCCTGGGGTTTTGCTCTCGCTTCAGCTCACATGTCTCCTGTGTGTTTTCTCTCTGAAGAAAACAAACTCAGAGTGTTGCCTAAGGTCACCAAGTCTTTTCTTTACAAAAGGAAAACAAAACAGGTGTGGAAAATTAAGCTTATAGTAGAGAAACTATGAGAAAGGAGAGAGAAAGAAATTCCCATAAGCCTATTACCCAATAGAGAAACTTATATATATAAGTTCAATATACAATTGAAGTCCATTGTAAGAACTTGCTCACAATAATATTACTATCTCTTTCCCATGGCCTCCCTCATCCATTGAGCATCTTACAGGGTTGGCTACTGGGCCAATTCCCCTTGTTTTGATTCCAGGGCCCACCTGG